TTATCAATTATTGAAAAGATTTAAATTATATATAATTGAAATTTTTTAATTTTATATTGTAAATAAAAGTATTTCAAAATAATAATTTATCTTATAATAATATATATATTTAACTATATTTCTAAAAGATAATAAAATACTATAGACAACAAAAATAATAATTTATCTAAATTAGCTTTGCAAATAATTGTTATTATACTATTACAAGCTTATTATAAGCATAAATTTTTCTTCTTAAATAGTTTTATATAAATTAATAATTGTGGCGAATTAAAATGAAACCAGATTAAAATGAAACAGAGTGTGATGTTTAAATAATCATAGGTTAATTTACTACAGATTTTAATGCTATACTCTATGCTCTAACCTAACCCTAACCCTTCTCTGAAATTTTTATTCCATAAAAATAGATCCAAATTTTATTTTGATTTGATTTTATTATAATCTGATTTTGTTTTAATCTGGTTTCGTTTTAATCTGTTACAATAATTATATTTTGATATAAAAAAATAAAATTTATAATATATATATTCTTATATATTTTTAATATCAAATATGAATTTAAGTTTATAACCAGAATATTTTAAACAAATTTTTTATGATGAATATTTAAATATTATTTTTACTAAAATAGAAGAAAATAATTTTTTTATCAACTTTAAGTTAAGAAAATTTATCAAATTTTTTGATAATATTAATTATTAAAAATAATGTTATATTTTTAGTAAAAATTTTAATTTAAATATTAATAATACAATTATAAAGAATATTAATATATTAATATTAGTTTTTATTATAAGATTATAAATAAATTTTATTTATTTATATAATTTTAATTATAAGATTTAATTATTATTATAAATTTAAATTTTGATATTTTTACAAGTTTAACTTTTAATATTTTTAGAAGTTTAAACTTTTTTTTTAAAATATTTTTTAAATAGAAATATCTAGTTAATTAAAGTTATAATTATATCAATTATTAAAATTTGGAGATATTTCTAATAATTCTAATTTATAACTTTATTTTTATATAAGTTTATTTCTTTTTATTAATAATTTTATTTTGTTTATAACTTTATTTTTTATTTTATAACTTTATTTTCTTTTTATAACTTTATTTATATTATAATTTATAATTTTTTATATTTTTTATGATATTTTTTATAATATAATTTATAATTTATATAATTTTAAATATAATATTAATATTATTATTATAAAAATGATATATTATTTATAATATTAATATTTTAATTTATAATTTCAAAAATTATAAAGATCAACTTATTTTTTAATTAATAATAATTATCAAACTTATATTTAAAATCACAATATTTAATACTACTATTTTTATGTTGATTTAACTTTTTCTTAATATATCATAAATTTATGTTATTTGTCATAAATCTTTATAATTATATCAATATAATTGACACAAAAACTTATAGCTAAATAAAAATAAAAAATTAATATAAGTAAAATTTAATTCTAATATACAGATGCTATATAAATAAAAATTAATAATCTCATCTTTATTTGTAGTATTTTAAAGTGCTAATTCATTATATTCTATATTAAAAATAAAATTTTAAACTAGAATCAAATTGATCTAACTTCAACATAAAAATTAATATATTTTTATCATTTTGAAGTATCTCATTATTTGATTCAGTTATTTCTGTATTAGGAAATAAAAATTTTAGTTATTATAATACTATAAGTTAGTTAAATTAACTTATCTTTATATAACAAAAAATTAATATATTTTTACTCTTATCTTTATCTATATTATTTAGAAGTATTTGAAATATTTAATTATTTAATTTAGATATTTCTGTATTAAAAAACAAAATTTTAGCTATTGTAATATTATAAGCTAATTAAGAAAATCAATATTCTCTTAGCCTTTTATTCTTATTTATATTATTCTAAAGTATTTAATTTGAACTATTTTATAGTTTTTCTGATTATATATATTTTATATTAAAAATAAGTTTTAAATTAGAAATTTGATTTATTTTTTAAAGTATATATACTCTTATTTATAAGTACTTGAGAGCATAATATTAGTATTTCTTCTTGTATTATATTTATATATCAAATTTAACTTTAATTGTAACATTTATATTTTGTACTTAGATAAAATATTGTTAATTAGTAATAAGCATAATATTATGAGAAAATTATTATCTTGAACAGTTTAAAAAGTTCATAATTTTTTCTCATTATTAAAATTTATAATATATTCTTAAAGTAAAAAGAAATTAATAAGTTTATTTTGTCTAGTAAATAAATTAAATTATACATCAAATTACCATTATTTAAAAAATTATACATCACAGTTAAGAATGCTTGTCTAAATCCTTTTAGAAAAATATTGTTATAATTTTGATAGATTACACACTAATTATTAATTAGAATTTTGACATAATTTTAATTATGACAGATTTCAAAATTTGCCAGAATTTCAACAAGCTATTTATTAATAGTTTATTATAATTTTGACAGAATTTTAACAGTCACTAAGAGATTTCGACAAGCAATCTTAATCATAGTAAAATCAATAGTGTTTGTTTAGAATTAACTTTTATAATAGTTTATAACTTTTTTTGTGCAAAAAATTCAAGACTTGTACTCTGAATATGAAATTCAGCTATGTTTATTTTAGTTTTTTCAGTTTATATGTAAAAAAATTACGCATTATGTGAAATATTACAAATTATATATTATATAGTACAAATTATGTGAGTTACATCAATTTTTGAGATTGTTATATTTAAGTCTGTATAATAAGTTATTATATACATTTATTCTATAATAAAACAAACTTTTTTATTTTGGTTTTTATCATTATACAATTAAACTTCTTTATAGTTATCACTCTCAAAAAAGCAAAATTTGGTAATTATAGAGAGAATGTGATTATAGAGAGATTTTTTTACTATATTTATATGTCAATGAAAAAGCAAAACAAGATAACTATGGAGGAATGTGACTATAAATGGATGTGATTATAGAGAGATTTGATTGTAATATAAAAATTACTGATATATTATTATTATAATAATATTAAGTTTTTAATTCTGTAATTTTTACTTTTAATTTTCATATAAATATCTTTTTATAATTTACTATATGATAATTCTTTCAAAATTAGTTTCTTATATTATAAGCCAAATTTAGAAATATTTCATTATGAATGAATATTACTTTCTTGTATTATAAATATTCTCATTGTTCTTCAAGATTAATGCAATAATAATAGTAATTATCTAGAGGAGAACAATTACTTAATTACTTTTAGATAATTTTAAGAAAAAACAATTAATGTAGTAATCCGAAACTGTATATATATATTACTTTTGGATCTTTGAGTAAACTAGTATCCTAGCCATTACGAAAAAAATGTACGATGCACGTGATCTGAAATAAGTCCATTAAAATATCAGATTAATATTAGATATCAAGTATTAGAGTAGAGCTGAGATTAAGCTTATATATAAAATTGTCTTCCCGACATTTTTTAATAGTGTGCCAAGCTAGATTTATATAGCTTTTTTTTGTATTTTTCGCATTTTTTGTACCGGATTTGTTTTGTCGGGTTGATCAAAAATTTGCTACATTCCTATTGGTTGTGCATAATTTTTACGCATTCTTATTGGTTGGATTGGTTCATCATCACGTGCACCGTACATTTTTTCGTCATGGCTAGGGTACTATGAGAAAACATGCTTTGATCCAATAAAATAACAAAGTTCTTACCTGTAGTAATAATATTACTTGTGAATATACTATTATTATTTTGGTCATCATCAAAGCTTGCAAGCAAAGTAATAAGTAGTGGATGTTCCTCCACTCTAAAGAAGCCGTTGACTTTGTTGAATTGATATTTTATCTTTATTTTATTTCGATATCGAGTTTTATTCTTTGAACAGTCCATACCAATAAGCCCTGTTGTGTTTTAAGATTATTTTGAAAATACACGAACAAATGAAATTTTATTGATTTTCTTTATAGGACTATTTTATTTGAAACTCCCCTAACAGTTAAAAGATCAATTTGCGTACAAATTGCCACAGAAGACCCTTAGAACGTTAAAGAAACCTTCTTTCTCATAAATTATTCAGTCTAGCTCGTAATCACATTGCGAAAACCCTTCTATTCGAATAGTTTTAGAATCGACGCAACAGAACATTGTTAAATACAAAATCATTTTTTTTTTGTAAACATAATAAACATTAAATCCTCTTCCTATAACATTTCAATGAATTGCCAAATATTCGAATGTCATATCACAATAATCAGGGATCCATACAGCATTTTCTTGGAAAGTCATTATAAGCGATTTGAATGTAATTTATACAACTCACTCTCGTTAAAGTGAATGCATCCAGACTATTCACTATATCGAGATGATTTATCAGACAGTTTGAACTCAAGTTCACTTTTTAAAGATTCTCAAAATGCGAATATCCTAAAATCTTTTTGAATATTCAAATGCTAGATTTTAACCACTAGGCCTCTTCCACCACCAGGTAAAACAATACTGTAAAGCGCCGAATATGGTATTCTCCCTTGTAGAAAATTTAAACTTTGATTTAATCCAAAAAATTTTTAGTAACACCAATTATCGTTACGAATAATTTTATGTTACTAAAATAATAGCTTTGAAGTTAAATTAAGATTAAATTTTCTACAAGGGGATGTTATAGTCAGCGCTTTACGGTATCATTTAAGAAATGCAAAATGAACATCTATTATTAACAACTTAACAATTTTTTATTGCTTTAGATTTATCATTTTAGTGCATGGCCTGCAAAATTTACATAAAGTGAAAAGTAACTACGTATTAAACTTTTTACAACAAAGTGACTGGAAAATAAAAAAACTTTGCATTTATTATTTTTCATGAATGAATAATTACGCGATATTCTACACGCGGTTTTTGACACGAGACGACTAACTATTTTAATTTTCTAAACAATAATATACATTATCTAAAATCCGCCAGCAGATTTATGTTTATCGTCTTCAGAACATGACCAAGTAGAATCCTGAGCACTTGGTGATCCACTCTCTTTATACCAACCACTCTCATCTCCAAGACAAGTTCCAACCGGTACTACCTTATACCCGTTACTAATCACATAATCCAAAGCCCACGGAACAAGGCCTTTCACTGTCGTCTCTACGGGGTCGTGTTGAATAGCAATATGAGGGTTCGGAGGATTATTGTTATTCTGGTATTCTTGTTTAGAAGTGTCAACCGATGCGCCTGCTGTGTCTCGTGTATCAATCTCCCAACCAATGACAATGTACCCATACTCTTGCAGTATGCTCATAATTAAATCTGAGTCGACACCGTCGCCGTATGGAAGTCGGAAGTAACGTGGTACAACTCCGATTATTTTACGAAGAGCGACTTCTAATTTTGTTATTTGGTAGACGATTTCTTCTCTTGATAGTGCGGGCATGCGAGCATGTGACCATGTGTGTGAGGCGATTTGGTGACCGGCATCATATGCGCGCTTTAGAACGTCAGCATAGTTATATATACATCCAAAGTTATTGCCATTTACAAAGAATGTTGCTTTGACTCCCTTTTCATCCAGTTCATCGAGTAATTGATTTGTATACTAGATTAATCAAATCTTATCAAGGTTAGAACTTAATATTATTTTTGTTGTAATTTTTAAATTTATAACAGAAAATTACCCCTGCTGGTCCATCATCAAAAGTTATAGCGAATGTATTAGTGACTGTGCAAACCCTATGATATGGTGCTTTTTGATTGGTTGAACTAGAGCTCGGTGTGGAACTAGAGCTGGGTGTGGAACTAGAGCTGGGTGTGGAAGTAGAACTGGGTGTGGAATCGCATTTTCCAAAGCTTGCTTGACAACCGGCCCCACAATAGTCTAAAATAAAGAAAAAATGGTAAAAAATACTCGGCAATACAATTCTTCACGCGAAAATCATTATTACCGCTTCCTGTATTACAATATCCGTATTGTGAGCAACACTGACCAGAGGGACATTGGGTATTTGTAGCCGACCCGCATTTTCCATCAGTAGAGACTGTTATTGAATTGCTAGCGTTGCTTGAACTTGAATCCGAATTACATTTTCCGAATCCAGATTGACATCCACTCCCACAATAGGCTAATTTTTAACGCATTCGCATAATTGAATATATTTTTAACGTAAAAAAAATTGAATTACCATAACATGTATTAATTATACCTGTTTCTATATTACAATATCCATATTGTGAACAGCAATTATCATTTGCACATTTAGTCTGAGAATCGATACCGCAACGACCATCCTGTGATATTGGATAATCGGCAGTCGTAGCGGCCACCGCTAACAACAAGCAAATTACAACGAAAATATATAAGGTATGTGATGAATCTCTAGTCATTTTTATATAATTATTTTTCACGAAAAAAATATGGTTAGCAGAGACAAAGGGTTCTGAGACTCTCGCCCATTTTATACTCTTTCGTTCGATTTGATTGCTATGATTGTTTACTTTCTGTTGACCACTATGTTTATTTATTTTTTCGCATCACTTACTACCAGCCAATTTCTCTAGCTGTACGTTACAATCAATCAATTTAATTATTGCGGTGACTGATTGGAAGAGTCGCTTTTGCATCCATCTTTTTTAACAAATAGTTATTTGTTTCTTTTTTTACTCAAAAATTTAACAATTATGTAGAATAAATAACCATAAATAAACATAATATTGTATCTCAATAGAGATAAAACCGGATTCTTAATTAATTGCCCGAAGAAAAGAAAAATCTGCATAGAACATCCCAACATTTCTTGATACATGTACATGTACATGTACGTTTTGCGTGTATCACAGTTCCTTAGATTTCTTACTTCATGTACAAGATAGAAAAATCGAAAATCTTGCATTTAATCCCTCATTTCCTTTTATGGAATCGAGAAAATTTTCCAGCAGGTAAATGTAGGGTTGGGAAGAGCAAGGCTTCATATATGCATAATAATCTATTCACCGTGTGGACTGTACAGCTTCAATTTTTTTAACGTTAACGTTAATATTAATAGCGACGCTCTACCTTTGGCAGGGTATCAAGAAATAAAAACTAATGTTTACTCTAATTTATATCCTAGCGATAGCTCTTTATACAAAGCGTTTAAAAAGGCTCTGCAGAGTTTTAAAATCACGACGATCAAAAAAGGCAATGAAACAACACATAACATTTTCTAGAAAAATCTTTAAAAAGGAACTCATGTTCTCATGCACATATGCACTGCCAACTATACTTCTGTTCAAATGGACAAATTAAAAATTTCCACGCCTTTACAAAAAATGCTTAAAGAATATCATTGAAAACTTGTAAATAGATGGTGCATCTAAAGTCATCAAACGTTTGTCTTTTATAAATGGATAAACTTTACTAAAAAGTAAATACGAAATTTAATTCGTAAATATTATAGAATAGGCCCTTTCTGAGCATATTTACGGATTCAATATTGTATTAAAGAAGTTTATCCATTTTATAAAATACAAACGTTTGATGACTTTATATGGTACATACCATACGTATTTGACCAGAGTTTGGAATTTGAACAATTACTAAATTTTTGATTTACTCAAATTGTATTTCAATAATTTTATTAATAATTTAAGGGATTTATAAAATAGTGCTATGGCATTGTAACGTGGGATCACAGATTTAATAGTAGTATAACCTTAAAATTTTAGGACACGTTACGTACTCTTATATTCTTAGTACATGTAAATGGGACTATGGCCTATGCGATAAATATTTTTAATTATAAATAATACCAACACTTTGGAATCATTAATATAAAATTCCAGCAACTAATATATAACAATACAGTCAACGTAACACTCTTTACACTGTCAGCCAGCCTGAGACAGAATTTCTTTATATATCTATATATAGTACATGTATTAATAACGTAACGTTAAATATGTGTCCCCGATCACGTTATTATTCAAAATGCTATGTAACGTTAAAATATACCTACCACTTGTTGACAAAAGATTGAGACGAGGAGCGAATTTTTCTACAGGATTACACATACGTATCGGTATTGAGATATTATTGTTATCTAACGAACGACTGTACATGCATACGTACACAGATTTGTGAACATTACGTAAGTAGGATACTAATTTTGTAATTTAATGTGATTACGTAAATTTTTCTAGAAATAGCCAAATTAATCTTTTTTTAAATTCTACGTATAAACTTCTTAACTACGTAATAAGTAAATCCAACAAAATGATAGAACAGGTCTATTGGATTAAATTTTGTATTTTCTTTCTGATTAAAAAAATTTTATAGAATTTAAAACACAATTTATTGTCGAATTGCACTGCACCATCAAGAGAGAAAAACATGAAATTTTTGCTCTGATTATTGAATTTATCACAGAATATCATCGTCCCTGTGATGAACTTTTAATCGAGATTATTTGTTCGCTGTTTGTTTTGCCACGAGAATTAAAATTAAAATCGAAATCGAAATTGGCTATTACACTAAGAACTTAGAAAAAATACATAAAGATTATTCTTATACATCGAGAAAGGATAAATTAAAAAACCAAGAATGTTAATCATTCTAGGTCAGATTAAAGAAGACACGTGCGATATTGTGTCAATAAATTGAAGAAATGGAAAATGAAAGCGAAGTACCATACGGTACTGACTACCGTATCCCCCGACTATAATATCCCCCATGAATAAGACCTGGGTATAATTCATAAGTTTGTTTTTTAAAAATTAGAAAAGTACCCAGGTATTATATAAACAATTGAACGTATATGTATGTATAATATACCATCCCATAATTTGTACCCCTCCCAATTACAGTATCTACTCCCCCGTAAATAGTACCCGGGAGGGTACTATTCAATAAATCTGGAGGTTTCTGGAATAATACCTCGGTTCTGTAGTCAGTGCCGTACGGTAGCATTATGCAAGGATACGTACAAAATTGCTGTTATAATATTTATGTAACCATCAAAGAAAAAATCCAACAACAAAGGAATTCAATTATACACTCCAATCATTCTTGGATGACCACTTTGTCTTGCCTTTAATCCAAGCTCTGCTCCGATTTCATATTGATAGCAAATTCTAAATCAAACTAATTGTATTTATTATATTCAGCTGCTTTTACATAGTATTCAATGCTTTTCGTTCGTCCCGGACTGTTCCGCTAAGATTAGATTACACCAAGCTCTACCGATTCTGTGAACCTTTTTATCAATTTCAAACCCTCAGCCATAATACAGTATGTGAAACTAACGTCCGCAGCTACTGCTTTTAAGTCTCCCTGACCAAGAGAGATCCATTTTATCTTTTGTAAATATCGAGTGTGTTGACAAGACTGTATGATTGTTCGACTGGTGTTAACGTTATAAGTTTTGGAGAATGATGATAATAGAGTGAGAGGATGAGAGAAATTTGATTGTGCTAGCTAGTGTTCCTATGAACTGAACCAAACTGGACTTTTGCCTGGGTTTGAGTCTGGTTCAAAATTTGAATCAAACTTGAACTAGACTTTGGCTTGAGTTCAAGAAAGATTCAAAGTTCAAACGGGACTCAAACTGAATCATTGTTTGAGTCTGGTTCAAGTTCAGTTTGAGATTGGCATATAATATTATATAGCTCTTAACTTGAACTACAACTTTATTTCTAAGTATGATTTATAATATTTATTAAAAATTAAAAGTTTACTTAGAGACAACTAAAAGTATTGCTTATAACTCTTTGAATATTTATTATTAATATTAATTATCTATATTAATTTGTAGCTCTTATTTCTGACTACAACTTTGCTTAGAATTATAGTTTATAATTTTTATTGAAAAATAAATATTTACTATAATATAACTAAAGTTAATTAAAATTATAATAATTAAAATATTTTTAACTCTTTGAATATTATTCTCAATTAAAAATAGTACAAAAATTATTTAAATCTCTAATTAAATCAGGTTTGAGATCAATTTGAACTAATAATTTTGGATCAGATCAGATTTGGATCAGATTTAATTCAAAAATTATAAAATAGTATTTCATTAATAACTTTTATTTTTACTAAGACACTTGTATTTTGTATTTAAGTAAAGTTATTTAGAATATAATTATATATATATTCACCAATTTTTTTTTAATTCCAATTAATAGTGAATAAGAAATAATATTTTTTTAGATTAATCTGAAATCTTTTGGATTAAGTTTGACTTTAATCTGATTTGATTTGAAATATATATTCTGAATTAGATTATAGATTAGATCTAATCTGATTAGAGTACTATAATTATTACAACTTGATGACAAATAAAATATTATCTAATTGCAACTAGTTATAGCTTAAAAAATTTTTGTATTTACAACATATTATAAAAATAATAAATATGTATTACATACTTATTGTACTATTTCTATTTTTAATATTAACTATTATAATTATTTGTAATTTTAATTATAATTTATAACTTTATTTAGAATTTTTTTAAATATTTACTTGAACTTGAATTAGATTTAAAATTAATTTAAAATTTAATTCAAATTTAAATCAAACTTTTAATTAAATTCAAGCTCGAACTAAATCAAATATAAATTAAATTAGATTTTTTTTGAAATTTTAGTATTAGTAATAGTATTAATAATTAATAATAAAAATTAATAATAAAAAATAAATAATATTTTATACTAATTTGTATAATTTTTATAAAATTAATAAATATAGTATTATACTTATAATATAAAATTATTAATTTTATAATTTATAACAAATTATAAAAATTATATAAATAATTTATTAGTTAAAATATTTTCTTAATTATTTCTTATATTATTATTATATATAATTATTTTTTTATTTATTTGCTTAATTATTTTTTATTTCTCTACTTTTTGATATTTTATCTTTATATATATATATTTATTTTTATATTAATATTTAGTTAATTATAAATTTTATATCAGAATAAAATAGAATAATATCATTTTATCAAAATTTATATTATTATAGTAGTAATATAAAAATCATTAATTTTAAAAATAATTAAAAAATAGAATATTTAAAAATATTTGTATAATAATAAAAATCTCTTAAATTATTTTATTATTTTATTTTATTTTTTATTATTTTAATTAACTTTTATTATTTTTAATTAAATTTCATTTTTAATTATTTTTAATTAACTTTCATCTTTTTTATTATATTAGAAAATTTTTAAACTTATTTATAATCAATTTATAATTATTTATAATAAAATTAATTATTAATACTTTTATTATTTACTATTAATAGAGATTTTAATTAATTATCAGCAATTATAATTAATTATAATTATTAATAATTGATTAAAATTAAATATTATTAAAAAATATCATTAGCAATTGATTGTAACTTTTAATAATAAAAATAATAGTATATTAATAATTAATTATTAATAAAAATAATTAGTAATTGATTGTTAATGAGTTTTATTTGCAATCAATTATAATTATAATTAATACTAATTAGTAAGAATATTAATAATTAATTACTAATAGATAAGATAAATAATTAATTGTCAATAAGAATTAATTATAATTATAATTGATACTAATTAGTAAAGATATTAATAATTAATTATCAATAGATATAATTAATAATCAATTATTAATAAAAATTATTTGTAATTATAATTAATATTAATTAATTAAAGTATTGATAATTAATATAATTTGCAATTAATTACTAATATATACAATTAATATTCAAATATAATTATACTAAATATTAATTAATAAGAATATTAATAATTAATTATTAATAGATATTGTTAGAAATTAATTTCTAATTGAATATTATTAGAAATTAGTTTTAATTTAAATAATACAATTATAATTAATATTAATTAATAGTTTATTAATATATATATTATATATTTATATAAAATAATATATTGCAAGCTAATTAAATTAATTTATATTTATTTTATTGTTCTTTTACATTATTTTATTTGAAATTTTTCTTATTTAACAAATAATATTTTATAATAAAAATTAATCAAAAATTTATCTCTAAATTTTGCTAAATATTTTTTGCTTGATTGATTTTAATATTATTAAATATATAATATTAATTTTATTTCAATTAGTTAATAATAGAGTTTTTGTCTCTTAAAGTTAATTAATATTATTATAAGTTATTTAGTTTAACTTGGTTTAGCTTTTGAATTCAATATTTTAATTATTATTAATTATTATTAATTAGAATTATTTAAAAATATTACTATTTATATTATTTGTTATATTTTATAATATTTTATTGTAATTTATTGAATAGTAACTAAATTATTATATTTTAAAGTAACTTAATTTTAATAATTTATTTTATTATTATTTGTTAGTATTTTGAATTTTAATATTATTTATATATTAATTAATAATTATTAATTTGTAATAATCTAAATTTATTATTCAATTATAATATATTGTTATAGTAATAATATAAAAATTGTTAATTCCAAAAATAGTTAAAAATTATAAAATATTTAAAATTTATATAATAGTAAAGATCTCTTAAATTATTTTACCTTTTATTTTATTTTTTTATCTTTTATTTTATCTTTTATTTTATTTTTTACCTTTTATTTTATCTTTATTTTACTTTTTATTTTTATTATATCTTTTTGATTAGTAATCTTATCTTTTAGATAGTTATTATTATTTGAAATTATATTTGTAAAAAATGTATAAATAAAAGATATTGTCTGAGACTTAACTCAACATGTTGTAACTGAAAATAAAAATCTCTTTTAACAAAAATCTTCTTCAAATATCTTTTACTTCTCATATTTTCTTTATACTATTACAATTATATTATGAAATTCGTTAATTCTATAATAACTTATAATGATTCATGAAATTATAAAAATTATATAAAGAACTTAGAATATTTTACAATTTTATTAATTATAGTATTTGTATATTTTTATTTTTCTACTTCATATTTCTATATTTTTTATACTTTTTATACTTTATACTTTTATACTTTTTATACTTTTTCTACTTTA